ATATAGGAATAAGGTACCATCAGTTAGTTCTGTTTTAACTTCAGTGAATTTGTACTGAGAGACCATTACTCATTGCCATAGATGATACCTGACTCAACCTAGCATAACTGAGCTCACTAGGCAGTTGGTTCATCTTAGTAGATGGATAATTTATCAGCACAAATCCATAGCCTCATTGGTGATCAAATCAAGGTCTGATGGTAAAGTGCTCGGTGTGAGGCCTAAAAGTGTTGGATTAGACTTCCAGTGGGGTCGTGAATTCTCATTGCTGAGGAGCCCGGTGCTAGAGCAAAATACCTGTCCAGTGCCCCCTAGTCTCCATTACTCAAATAACTAAGGTTAGTTTGTGATGTTAATCATAAAATGGAATAGTCCCGAACTCAATAGACCAGAATCTATTACTCCGAATTTGAGAATACACTTAAATCTTAAATACTGCTGCGTAATATGTACTTAGCATATGTGAGTATCCTGTAACTGATTCTGTACAACATTATAGGCGTGCACTTCTGAACCATCGCAAACAACGATGTGATAACTCTCCATTACTCTATTCGTCGCCAGAATTTATTTTCCTGATATTAGTCTGTGAAAAAATACACACATTTTTAAATGTTAGTTTAGTGTTCAGATATGATAAGTCATGCTACCAAGATGCTTAAACTGTCTTCTTCGCCGGTTCTGATATCCTTAACTAATTCTACACATCAACTGGAACACTAGAGAGCAGGTGGGAAACGCGAATAAAAGCTTTACTCCAAGGTTAATTTATGTACAGAAAAACGCGGGTATTTATAGTTTTACATCTAGCCTTGGGCGTCCGGAAATTTCTGGAACCATGCCAAATATAATAACAGTATAGGTGGCTATCCAACCCAAACCGTGGTACGTGATTCCGCATATTCTAGATGTTTATGAGAAGATTCTGTTCCCTGGCATTTCTGGACCTCTGGGAACATGACGAGGGATATTTTGGGGACTCCAACGATATTAAATTCAAATCCAGTAAAAACTGAAATTTTTATGTGCTTTATATACACTGGATACTCTCAGTATCAAATAAGTCACTGGTGAGGATAAGATTATAATTAGGGAGATTTGTGGTTTTTTCAAGTCGAAGTTAGTTTACACCGTCAACTGACATCACATCGAGAGTACTAGTGAAAACCAGAGACTATTCTATAATCCCGGTAAATAGTGAGATCAAATGTCCGTGTTCTATTACAAATGTGTAAACTACGTTAAATTTAATTGAACAACAAGCAATCTCAGAACGCTTATTCATCATTGCTGAGTAAATCACATTCTCCGGTTTAAAGAACACAGTGTAATAGTAAAACCAGTTGATTGATAATAAGACTCTGGGTGGTATTAGTATATAGGTATTCTGAATAGATGACTCGATATTGTTTTTTTTACGTCAACATTAAGAAATGGGAGCATTTAAATGAAGAATCATCAACTTGACTGAAATCCATATATGAACACATGATTTTTTCCTACTGATCGACATTCAGATTTTGTATAGATTGAGCAGCGGTACTGTCTGAACACAAATTAACGGTAATTTAATATTACAACCAAAAAATCTATCCGACTTACTAAGCTATATGATTGCTTTTAACAGTTCTAGACTGTGCTAAGAAGTCTACAAAGAAATTTCCAAATAAACTTATAAATGGTCGCTGTTCCCTAGTTGATTTGGTTGAATTATTTTGAATAAAAATAACTACCTATCAGAGATGGTCGTACTGATGCAGTTAATTTCATTAATATCATGAACTGATCTAAGTTGGATAACTATTGACAACCTCGACACAATAGATGACCATTCGTCCTAGTATGAGGCTCTTCAGCAGAGTGGGTTCACGACCCCACAATGGGGAGTCGAACTCGAGATTCTCAGTCTCGCGCACAAGCGCTCAAACTATATACTACTGTGCTTCATTTTAGTTAGTATATGCTTTATTTTATCAGTAGTACCATGAAAATGCGATTGGACGAGTTAGAAACTATGGGGAAACAAAAATACTAAGAGTAGTAACATTCAAGACTTCATCACCTGACATACACTTTTGTCTTGTCGACTGGACCTTTAGATAGAAGAATAACAGAGCGAACCTCTTAGGAAACCACATATTTTTGCTTGAGGGTACGAACTTTATCTCAGCTCACTAGCAAAACATAGTGAACGCAATGATTCTCAAAGTAGTATTGAAATAAGAAATGGTTGGACTAAAGCTGTTGACTTGAAATCTAACAAGCTCGTTTCTCATTTCACCGTTAATCATTAACATTGGAGTCTACCAATTTAGGTTATATCTCATTTGATTTGAACTAGTTTCATTGAATCAAATGTATATTTTATACGTAGTGTCACATTTAGTGATCGCATAATTCAGTTTCGCCATTCCTGAATACATATATTCCATCTATACCTGATTTAGTAAAACCAGGTCAAATCAAATGAGATTTAATCTAAATTGGTAGATTTCAGTATTGATGATTAATAATGAAATGAGAAACTGTGTATCTCCCCAAAATAATCTTGACATAAGTGAACCATTCTTGATCAAAATATGGTAGTATTGTTGAACTCTTTCTAAACACTACTCACCCTTTATATCATGCTAAAACGGAAACTTGGAGCTATCACATAGATTATGTTTATTGGCACTTCCTATCACAATTAGACAAGTCAATTTTGTAGATTTTTAATACTTCTACATTATCTGATATTGTTTATAAGAGTTAAAATTTTCCGCTCATTTCAACTATACAAGACGATATATAAGCGAACCGAGGGATTCAAACCAGAAAATTAATGTTTGAATATCTAATGCTTTAGTCAATATAATAGTCATAATAATAAGTAATAACTTAAGTTCACTTATACCCTATTTTTTGTCAACTATCAACAAATTGAAATGTACAACAACGAAAAGAAAACACGAAGCAAAGTTATAAAAACGAAAGAAAAAAACTTTATTATTCAATAGTAATAATAACAATAATAAGAGTAATAAAACAGGAATGATACGAACATTAAAAAAAACCCTCGTTATTTATTGTCATTGAGCACAATGAACATACTTAGAAAGAGATTAGAAAGAAAAAAGGAAATTGAATGGCTGAATAACAAGAAGATTAGACCAGAATAGAAACTGCCAGGTTAATTTATCAGAATTATTGTTCTTTTCTTATTCTTATTCTTCTTTTTCTTCGTCATCAGCATAATCCACACCATCAATATCACGAACATATAGACAATATTAGTAGTAATAATGATGATAATAATAATAGTAATAAGACACCGGTGAAAAAAATGCACTGATTGTTCCATTTTTACAATGATCATAAATAATTCTTCTCTATAATAAGTGACAGAAACAATACAATAGTTAACAACTTGTAATTCGGTAACAGTATTCATAAAAGTACACAATAATAATAGTAATAATCATCGTAATAGTAATGTCATACAATATTACATTTAAGATTGATACTATATATAGAAGATTGTGTAATGAATAATATATAAAATACAAAAATCAATTCACAATAGTTTGCGGAATACATTTGTCATTCTGTTTAGTTTCTTACGTAACTTTTAAGTTCTCGGAGTTGTTAATTATCGTTGTTATCGTCTGAGCAGTAAATTCATCACACACAGGTTGATGTGCAATGAGTGGAATAGTAGTAATGTTGATAAATAAGGAGAAGAACCTCACAGATATACATACATACACACACGTACAGACAGAGGAATCATATAATAGGAATGTAATGTTTGTTTTTCTCTTTAAAATTAGAAAAAAAATTATTACACAATGATGATTACTATCAACAATAAAATTGTTCCTTTTGTAGGTATACACTAATAATAATAATAATAATAATAATAATAATAATAATAATAATAATAATAATAATAATAATAATAATAATGGTAATAATAATAACGATAGGATTATTCTTACATAGTCACCAATGTGTATGTGTGTGCGTGTGGGGTAGTCATTACACAATAAGTTTCAGATATTCATCTACATATACTATACAGACATACACGTTTATTTTACATTTTTACACTCTAAACACACAAAAATACAGAATATTAGCAAGGTATTCTCATAAACACAAAAAGATAAAAAGAAACGTAACGTATTTGGCGCTTATTTATCAATATTATTGCTATCTTCATTCTCACTAAAAAATGTGTTGTGGATACGGAGGAATAGATCAATAATTATCATGTTAAGTCCAAGGACATTCTTCATAAGATTTGAAAGAAAAACAACATGGTACATAGTAGAAATAAAGAAAATGCTGATGGCTGACTTTCGATGATGAAGAATATTTGTTGTTTTAGATCGTAATTCCATTGAACTTCGGTTTAAATTCACGCCTCATCTCTATCAAACAAAAAAACTTAACTCTTGAAGGAAACAAGAAAATTGTTCGTATGTTTTTTTTTGAAGAAAAAGGGATAATAATGAAAGAATTCAACAGATAAGAAGAATTTACGCACGCACACACACATACACATGCCAGTGTAATATAACGAGTAGAGGAATGCGTGATGGAGTACAAAGATAATCACTTTTTAGAAAAATAACAGGTAAAAAACAACGGAAAAAAACAGAGACTAGTAATAATATTATTATTATTTACATCAGTACTGTATAGGATACAAAAAACGGGCAGGAAACAACCATCATCGCCGCTGAGGTAAGTTAAAAGTTAATAATCTACATGATAAAGTGAAGAGCACAGTATCAAATCATAGAAAAACAACTCATTAATATGAATCATTCGAATATATATATATGTATAGTCAAGTGTTTTTCGTAAAAAACAAAAACCAATCAAAATATGAACAACAAAACTCAATGTTCAATAGGTAAAGATTGAACCAGCCAACAAACAGTGATGATAATGTATCATCATCATCCTACATGTCATGGAAAATGTGTTATCTTTTGGACGGGAAAAAATACACAGAAATAGAGAATTGAGGATGAGATAAACGGGGACAATGTTGTAAATTGTCTATTTATTAAAATACTTTTCTAAAAAAACCGCCTTCTCTCGTAACAATAAACAAACAAACGACATGATACAAAAAACGAACAAACGAATAAACAAAAATACATATTATAAATAATTGGGATACAAATAGAAGAATATCGATTTGGAAAACTATTATCATTATTATTATTATTATTATTGCTATTATTATTAGTAGTGGTACTGCTACCTTTGTTGGCTATGAATAGTCAATCAGTAAGTATTAACGAGAGTAGTCATGTTGTCTGTATAGTTAAGAGAAATGAGGAGAGAGAGAGAGAGTATCAAGAGGTTATTATTTGTCAATCAACATGATATCGATGATATTGTCATCTTCAAAGACTATGATGTTATGCGTTATCTGATCTCATATGAAATAGTAAATTAACTGACCAATGTAGCAATTAAGTAATAAGAACACCTTTTGAAAATGTATGCATTTTCAATGTTTACTTCACAATAAGTAGATTCAATTGGAGTTCTAAAATTTAAATCGAAGAAAGGAAAATTAAAAGTAGGAAGACAATGAAGAAGGAGGAATAAACTGTGGAAGAAATCAATCCATGGAATAAAGAAAACAGGTAAAAATTGAATCATGATTGCATAAATTCCAGGAATATATGTACATGATCAATCGGAAAAAGATAAGCGGAAAAGTAATAGTCAGAAGACATCGGCGCCAACATGATTACTAACTTTGAAATCAGTGTAATAAACATGAGTTATGTGTTCTCTTTTGATCACAAAAATAAGGTAATGATGATGAATTTAGTCGGCAATCGCCAAAACCACAAAAAAAAGATAGGACAAAAGAGACGAGAAGAAAAGGCCAGAGGACGGGGTGGAATGGGAGGGGGTGTATATAATTCATAATTATAAACAACACAAATTAAAATTTTTTCAAAAAAAAACAAACACAAATAAATGCTAAGTTAAAATACTATCTTCTTTCCCTGAATTTCTTGTGGAATATTCATTAGTTAGTTGAAAATAAGTTGATTTATCGGGTAGAATGTAAGAATTTTCACTTTTCGATAATATACTACTTGATATGATGTTAGTAGCAGTATTACAGGAAGGAGGTGTATGTTGTTTATGAGCGGATATTATATTGGATGTATTTGATGCATCATTCAGATCAGTAGTTTGAGTAATACTAGAAGTAATCATATTATCAATAGTATCAGTAGTATTTTGATCATGATGATGATTGATATGATTTATGTTAGTTTTAGCGTTTTTATTATGTATTGGTGTCTTCAATGTACGTCGACGTCCACGTAAGATGATAGTTGTCGGTTTATCATTTACATTTTTATTTACATGAGTTAATGATTCAGTCGATTGGGTTCCATCAGTATTTGTAACAGCGATACTAATACTATTACCACCGACATCAACGCCACATCGATTACCATTATCGCTTTTAGTACAATCCATAATTTTATTACTGTCAAAGGAACTGATATTTTCATTATTATTATTATTATTATTAGTAGTAGTAGTAGTAGTAGTAGTAGTAGCAGTATCATTTGTATTGTCGTTTGTATCCATCTGTGCAATATGAATTAGCTTTTCCTGTAATAAGTTATCAATATGTTGGGAATGTTCATCTGGCAATAAAACCTGTACATTTTTATTGATTTGACCATTTGATGAGGATGTTTCCATGGTGATATTGGATGATAATTTCTTACGATGATCAGTATGTGTTTGAGACCTCAATGAATTATCGTCATCATCATCATCATCCAAGGAATAATTATCCATATTCATGGTGGTTAAAGTTGGCATTTCAATATCATCGTCAGTGTTGTCAATATTATTATCATTCATAGTTTCAATCATTTCCGTTTCATGATCAATAATCACAGTATTCTCAACTTCTTTTTCATTATCTCCATCTGAAGATAGCATAGATATCGGTGGTGGTGGTGGTCGTCGTCGTGGTGATAACGATGACATTAGTGATAATGGAACTTCTTTCTGATCATGTTTCAGTGTTGTTGTTGTTGTTTCTTCAAACAACTTTATTTCATTATTGTCATCAGAATAATCCATACCATTACTGCTAGCATTACGACTCATACAATTATTGTTTTTAGTAGTAAAGGTGGTAGTATTTTCTTGCTGATCCTGTTGTTGTCCACCGACTGTAAGCAATTTACGTAATGCTTTAACTTCCATACTTAAACCACTTAATTCGTTACGTAGGCAACGATTTTCACTTTGTAATTTCTCTGTAGTTTCTGTACGTCCAAGTAGACGTGCACGTTTATTTTCACGACAACGACGTACTGCTTCATTATTACGACGTCGACGATCTTGATAACGTTTATCCAGGGTTGATGTACCTGAGTTTGAATCACTTAGAAAATGTTCTACAAAGAAAAGGAAAGAAAAAAAGATTTTTCAAGAGAAAAACATAATTATTGGATAAATACACATGACACATTTATTGTTATTATTACTATTATCGATTTATTTACTAAGTATATATTTGTGAACTCGGATTTAAACCATACTCCAAGTCCAAGGGCTGATAAGATTACCTAGCTTACCCCAAAATGAACTGAATTGAAGAGGGTTTCGAACCTGTGATTAAGTAACTGGAAATCAACACGGAGTATCTCTAATATTGGTAAAATTGATATCTATTGTAAGATTCAAACATATCAAATAACAGCATATCAGTCTGAAGTATACATGATCATTTAACCATTTAGAAGATGACTGATTGAGACATTCTTGATGACTGACCACCGGGTGATAACCAAAGCTGTATGTGGTTACGTAATAGTTTGAAGTTCGATGAAAAATAGTAGGAGTTGTAGATCAGAATTAGGAGAAATAGCCGTTTATTTGAAGAACATGAAGATGGTAAAGAAAAATCATACGGTGGAACAAGTAATACATTATTTTCACGTAAGCAAAAACTAGAAGATGATTAGAACTATGGTTGCTGGATTCATAAGGTTTCTTTATACTACACACGTTTTTACCTAATATTCTTTGCAATCTCGTTAATTTGACTGAGATAATTGTAAAAAAAAATAACTAAGAGGTTCATGACGTAAACCAACTTGTAACCCTTAATAGTGTCGTCGAGAATTTACTTAAATACTACGACAAATCTTGGAGAGTGCAAGTATAAAGAGATATGTAGAATGAAAACAAAAGACAAGTCACGATGTAGAAAAAATTTAAGCATTTAACTATTAACTACTACAATCATGATTATACTGAGAATAAGATGACCTTCTGGTTTTATGTAGGATATATACATTCTGTTTAAATAGGAAACTAGACAACAATAGTCTACACATATTTCCATAGTTCGTTTGTTTTCTCTACCATACTTTAATTATTTTTTTTGCTTAAAACAGGAATGCTTTGTTCACCTCTACTTACCTCCTTTTTATTGATCTTATCATATTTAATAATCAGAGTGTGTATATGAAATGAAAAACAACAAAGTACAAGAACAACAATAGGATAGCGCAATCAACCATATATATAATATTAGTCTCGACTATATGTATACATATGTATGTCTCATTAATACACTATCACATATGAAAAATTCCTCCCCTAACACCAACATCCAATAAACCGATTCTCATCAGAGAATAACTAATCAAGATGAGTTTTTCATTTTCATTTCTAATAAGTTATTTTTTGCTTTCATTTATTTAAAAAAAAAAGTGTACCATCATAAGCGCAGTACCTGTAATCATACTACCACTAACTACTATTAACCAAGGTTACAAATAATGAGTCATATTCTATTATTATAAGTCTCATCATTTGCAGTAATAGTAGTAGTATGTAAACAAGGCATTTTTTTTCTAATTGTCCAGACTAATAAAACATAAGAATTAGGACCTCTATCCGTAGTTCATGTCATTTTGTTAGGGTAATATATAGATATGACTGAAAACGTAGGCGTTATATTACCAAAACTATTTAAATCTCCATTATTTGATTGGTTCGTTTTGATAAATGAATATGGAGTTAGTCAAATTTATTACTCTTTTGGTCTGATCAGTCACCATTCCAAATTGATGATTTGCTTGTATACACACAATACATGTTCTAATATTAGTTGTTTTTTTTAAAAATAAAAACAAAACAATAAATGCATAATTACATTAATTTTACCATATGCATATGATACATTAGAATGATAATGACCATGACCATTAGTACGAATACAGCTACTACAACTTACTACAGTATTATGTGTATTTGCTGCGTCATCATCTCTGTTGTACGATGACGCTACAAATCGAAGACTTGTGTATGACACAGAAAAGTATTCAGAGAAGATTGTAAAAAAACTGAATACACTCGTACGTACACACACATATAAATACACACATACACAAGTAGTACTACTACACGATGTTGCTGACTAATAAATGAAATAGTCTCAGTCCCCAAGGTCAAGCAAACAACAACATAATACACGGTCCAAAGAGAAAGAGAATGTTTTCTAAAAAAAAGAATACTTAGGGGTAGGAAAAAAATTTAACACAAGTATGTGTTGGAAGTAAAAAAATATATATAGTACCTTGATAACGGTTTGATGAGTGACTGGTTGGCTGGCTAGCCAGATGGTTAGACAAATGCACTACTACCGTTATTACTAATGCTACTACTACTACTACTGGTATAGACATTTCCTTAATATTACTATATATATATTCAAATATGCAAGCAGATTGACGGGAGAATGCAGTATTTTACAAAAATACAAGGTTGATTGTTATCGTTTATCTATAAATATTGAATATCAATCTGTATTGTTTATTTACTAATGTCTGTGTATATATAGTGTGTACATATATAATTTCTCTATCTCACTCACTATGAGGGGCCTTGACATTTTTTAAAAATAGTAAATAATAATAGACGAATTCCAATATGGTAATATAACACTCAGACAGTAGTTTAAAGGACTTGAAAAGAATCCCATTACTTCTACTGTCATATAATAAAAGAGAGAAGAGTTTCGTCATATGCGCAATATAAAAGTGACTAGGTAATTTCTTTGCCATTGTCTGCATAGCTTGATACAATAACATTTATTTACTTATTTATTTATAATAAGGATTTGAACAACAAAACAACACAATAATCCCCGGTAATATTGATAATGTACTTTGTTTAGAACAATGAATTTATCTACTTGTATAAGCACACTGATCTTTAATTATCATTGACAATAACAATCGAAAATATCAAATAAACATTACGCAACGTGAAAACCAGAAATCCTTTATCTGTTTAATACAAATTAGGTATTGATACAGTGAAGAGAAAATAATACATTTGTAATTGAGACAGTTCAATCACTATGGTTGATGACAATTATTATTATGAAAAATGGATTGGATAATAGTTGAAATACATTGTAAGTTGGCAACACAACTGTCTATTGTGTTACTACTCAGTTTCTTATGATTCCATCCTAATGATTATTTGCTTATTTACGCCTGTTATCCTAGGTGAATGAGCGTTGGCCGCCTACCCCCATTCTTCATCCAACTCTGTCCTGGACAATCCTTTCCAGTTGCTATTCATCCTATTCATGTCTGCTTCCAAGTTCCGACGTAGTGTGTTCTTTGACCTTCCTTATTTCCGTTCCCATTCAAGATTCCAAGTTAGCGATTGCCTTGTGATGCAGTTTAATGATTTCCGTAATGTATGTTCTATCCACTTCCAACATCTTTTCCTAATTTCCTCTTCAGATGGAAGCTGGTTTGTTCTCTCATATAGTAGTTCGTTGCTGATAGTATCCGACAGACAGATATTAAGTATCTTGCATAGACAATTGTTTATAAATACTTGTACCATTTTGATGATGGTCGTAGTAGTTCTCCACGTTTCAGATCTGTACTGAACTGTCTTGACGTTCGTATTGAAGATTGTGACTTTGATATTGGTTGAGAGTTGTTTTAATTTCCATATGTTCTCCAACAGTAGGAATATGGCCCCCGCTTGCCTGCATCGGATCCTCCTTGTTCATCGATGATTCTGTCCGAGTAGGTACGTGACAGTTTCCACCTGTTCCAGAATTTCTCCATCAAGTGTGATTGCATTGGTGTTTTCTGTGATGTATTTCGGGATCTTGGTTTTTCCCTTGTGTATGTTGCGGCCTACTGCTTCTGAGGCTGCTGATACATTGTTTATCTTCATCTGTATTTGCTGATGTATAAGAGATAGAATGGTCAGGTCATCTACAAAGTCCAAATCATCTAGTTTCATCCAACCTGTCCGTTTTATTTCATGCTTCTCCTCAGATGTCGAAGTCTTCATAATCCAGTCAACCACCAGAAGAAAGTGAAAGGGAAAGAGTAGGCAGTCTTGTCTGTCTCCGGTCCTCATTTGGAATGTTTGTCAACTGTCCTCGATGCACCACTTTGCAGTGAGTATGAGTTCCGTATGATGTTGAAGATTCCCTTAGGTACACCATAGTGCCGAAGAAATCCTGGTGATAACCTTCAATAATTTTGGTTAGTCTGTTATTTATTCATTCCATTATTGATTATTATCACAAGTATGTTATTCAAAAATTAATTGTCAATCATAGTCTACATAGAGCCTAGCAGATTATGAGCATTACTTGAAGTTACCACACTATATCATTACTGTGAGATGAGACTATCAAGACAGGTACCAAAGTATTAGAAATATTAACAGTAACAACGACTGTAGAAAACATGACCAATATGACTGAAAAAGAATTAATTAATTAATTAAATAAAATGTTGAAAATCAGTTTAAAGATCAAGATTCAAGGTATGACAATGAATAAATTAATCTGTGCCATTGCAACCGATTCGGGGTTGCGTAACCTAATATCTCTAACAAATTTTTAATGACACAGTTCATCAAGTGATTACTTCACAAACTGATATCACTTATTGCATTGGGCCACCACAAGCTTTCTTCACAGTAACTTCTCTAATGCCAGGAAACCTCTTACTTCTAAGTAGGGCTTAGTGAAGTCTCTGTAATAAACCTTCCAACCACATTGGTTGATGAAAATTCACTGCATTATCAACCTATTTCCCATCTCTATCTGATACACTGCATCTAACTATAACATCACTCATATATTAGGTCTCAACATACATGAATAATGCTTCAAAGAAACTTATGACCGATTATTTATTTATTTATTTTATTTTAACACATAGATATTGGTACAAGGAGGCACCAAATACATATACGCCACATTAATCATTCGATTTGTTCGAGGGCTGTGATACTGCCCGAGTGCCCAGACCGATTGCTAGATATATTATCAATAACCAATAATTCACTTCACACTACAATGTCTCTTGTCAACCAAAATAAACAGTTCTCATTACTA